TCCAATTCTAGGTAAAACTTACCTAAACAGAGAGCAGTTATTGTAGAAACTTATAAACAGGTCTCTTTAAGATTCAGTTTTGCTACCAATTGTAGCACAGGGACAGCAAACATAAGCTAATCAAAATCGATCAAATCTTTTATTATAAGATGTTGTGAAACAGTATTACGCAAGACTCCAAAGGTCACAAATGTTATTCATCAACTGCTTCTTGAAGTCCATTTTCCTTTCCCGATTTGGCAGTTTAAAGACATACAAGCAAGATTTTCATTCACAGACTGGTCCATAGTTCTCACATGGATTATTATTATTTTTAAAAAAGAAAAAACAATTCCATAGGAATTTCTGCAGACAGGTCTGTGACTTGGTCCCAATGCGTCACCGCGGCAGGGTGGATCATTATCAGACACAGTCTTATGTTCTGAGATCAGACATTTTCTGAATGACCTGCTGCACAACCTCCAGACCCTGAGCCCACCTCACCGTCTCCTCAAAGTGTGCGTTGAGTGGAACACAGAACGCCTCCTTCCTCAGTTCAGTCAACTGACAAACTGCTATTACGCTTGCTACTCCCACAATTAGCAGGAGCAGGAGTTTTAGGAGCAGAGAGAAGAACAGGGAGCAGATGGACCGCTTGGCTTTGGGCACAGACTCTGATGCTGTCTTTTTACCTATAGTGAAGGAAGTGTAGAACTTACACTCAAAACATCGACAAGAAACACGCTGTACATATAACATGTACTGTACATATATACAGTAATACAATGTATATAACATATCAACCTGACATACACTACAGTTCAAAAGTTTGGGGTCAGTATGATTTCTTAAAAAATAATTTCGTTTGTTCAGAAAGGATGTATTCAATTGATCAAAAGTGACAGTAAAGACATGTATAATGTTACAAAAAAATTCAAATAAGTGCTGATCTTTTTTTGAACTTCTATTCATCATAGAATCTTTTCTATGTTTTAAACACCGATAAGAAATGTTTCTTGAGCACCAAATCATATTAAAATGATCTCTGCAGGTTCACGTGACACTGAAGACTGGAGTAATGGCTAAATTCAGCTTTGCCATCACAGGAATAAATTAAGTTTTTTAATTTATTAAAATAGAAAACCATTATTTTAAATTGTAATAATATTTCACAATATTACAGAATTTCTTAACATCCTTGGTAAGCATAAAAGACATCAAAAACATTAAAACATCTTAAAATCCAAACTTGACAGTAGTGTACATCAAAGTACTCCAACATTTTGAAACAACATAAAGCAAAGTAGAGAGTATGCAGTGTAATGAAATAATTGAGTCTCAGTTCATGTAAGATAAAATTGTACCTTGTTTTTGAGCAGCTCTCTTTTTCTTCTCTTCTTTCTTCTTTTTCTGTTGTTCTTGTGCAGCAAGAGCAGTCATCTGAGCTTGATACTCCTTTCTTTTCCTTTCCTTCTCTTCTGCTTTTTTCTTTTTTTGTGCTTCTCTTTCCCTGGCCTCCTTTTCCCTCTGCTTAGCTTCTTTTTTCTTTTCTAGTTCTGTAAGGGATTAAAATCAGAATTTCAAGTCCTAAATTCTAAACTTAATGTTATGCTCAACTTGTAACACTCATAATATCATTTGTAATGGAAAAAGAATATTAATATGAAAAACTTTCCCTACCTCTCTCTTTCAACAATCGACGTTCTCGTTGCTTTTCTGCTTCTTCCTGTAGTACCTTCATGTGCTGCAGAACCTGGACATAGTAATTAATTTGTTATACAAGTAACTTCATTTGTGATTGTTTCAAAACTGACTAAATAATCTTATTTATAAGTTCAAAAGTAATCTCTGACACTTCTGCTTCAGACCACTCAACTCACCCTGGATGCGCACTGTTTGCACTGCTTCTCATCCAAGCAATCGCCTGCAGCCTTGGCCAGTGTTGGCTCCAAGGGGTTATCCTTCAGATCCAGCCATTTAAGACTCTGCAACAAACAAATGCCCTCAATTACCGACTGCTACTAATACTGATAAGTATGAGAGGAGAGGAGAGGAGAGGACGTGTGGCCAAGTATGGTGTGCATTGGTGTCCAATACTCAGAATTTGTGCTCTGCATTTCAACCATCCAGGTGCACACACACAGCAGTGGGTAGTGAACAAACACACAAACTTTGAACACACAGCCTTGCTCAAGGGTCTCACCTCAGTCGGGGTATTGAAGGTGGAAGAGAGCGCTGGACATTCACTCCCCCCACCTACAATCCCTGCTGGTACCGAGACTCAAACCCACGAACTTTGGGTTACAAGTCCGACTCTCTAACCATTAGGCCACGACTGCCTCAAAATGAAAATAGCATCTTCTAATATTAAAGATAAAGTTTGCAGTTATGGGATCCTAAACCCACCTTGAGTTGTGAGAAGCCAACGGGAAGCATTTTCAGTTTGTTGTTGTATAAATCCAGGTGCTGGAGGTTACCGAGTTGCCCAATTTCTTCTGGTAAGCAGACCAGCTGGTTCTTGCTCAGGTCAATTTTTATAAGGTGAGTCAAGCTGCAGAATTCAGGCTGGTGAAGTAACAAAAACAGTACAAAAACATTAAATAAACTACAACTTAGAGCAAATCTGACTGGTTTTTTTATTTACAGTTGTTACTTACAGTCAGAGTTGTTAGATTATTACAGGACAGATCCAAAACCGTTGCCTTTGGAAATGCAGCCTGCACAGAAATCAATGTTTTCAATTTTCAACGTTTCTCACACTTTGCCTAAGGATAGGCTGAATTAATACAATTTAAACAAAACCAAGTACACACATGATAATTGTCAAGTGAATAATCTTAATAATCACTTACCAGCTCCTTGACTGGCACTTCTGTAAGATTACTGAGACTCAAATCAAGCTCATTGCCATCAATTTTGTCTTTAATGTTTTCAACTTTGCCTTTAATCATGTTGATGTCCTGCTCCTCACTGGACACTGAATAGAAATACCTATGATCAGCAATCAAAGCCATCAACGCATTAAAACGAAAGCAAGTTTTGACAGCTAACGTAGATAGTTTAGACAAAGTAAGAGACTCCTCATTGTTAAAGTTAACTTCAAACAGCAGCGTTTTCAGATATTATGTGTAATTGTAATGAATGAAAGTTATTACCTCGTTACAAATGGTAAAAATAGTCCAGACCCAATGCAGAGTAGTAGTTGTATGCAGTGACTTCACTGATTTCGCACCGCAATGGATGAAAATCCACGTCATTGCTCGCGTCGCGTGTGAGGCGCAGCTGACAGCGTGTCTCGTGCCTGGATGAGCGCCCGCTGTGAGCGCCGCCTAGCGTCTGGAGGTCTGGGTCATTGCTACTTATGAATATTAATTGTAGCAAACATTTGTAAAGCTCTGCACATTTTCCTCAAGTAAAATCTAATCAAGACGTAAAAGTTAATATTTAGAGGTAACACCCTTGGCATTGAGTGATATCATAATAAATAGCCTATGTAACCACATCCCCTGTGCTGTTTATACGAATGCACTCCATTATGATGCATGTTATGTTTAGCATTATGTATGATACATTATGTTTAGCCCAGTCAAAGTCCAGACCTCATCCTGACTGAAATACTGTGGCGAGAGCTGTGCATAAACTTGAACAATGTTGTAAAGAAGAGTGGGCCAAAATTCCTCCAGAATGATGTGAGAGACTGATAAAGTCATACAGAAAACGATTAGGCTACTTCAAGTTATTACTGTTAAAAGTGGATCTACAAGCAATTGAATCATAGGGTGTCTTAACTTTGTCGCACATGGTTTTCCATTTTGGCTTTATTTTTGTTAAATAAATAATGACACTGTGTGATATGTCATGTGTTGTTGTACATCTGATGAGGTTTTATTTTCCAAATTTTAAGACCTGCCAAGGACCAGATAATTTTTTATTATGTCCTACAGAAAACCTTGGAATTCAATAGGGTGTCCTAATTTTTTCACATAACTCTCTCTCTCTCTCTCTCTCTCTCTCTCTCTCTATATATATATATATATATATACATACTGTGCAGAAGTTTAGGTCATTAGTATTTTCACCAACAAAAATGGTTTAAAGCCAGTTATTTCTATCTTTTGCTGTTGTGTGTTAGTAGGAAATATTAGAAATAACTGGCTTAAAACCCTTTTTTGAGAATGGTAGAAGAGTAAAAGATTTGTAAAGTAATTGATCAGAACAGCAAATAATATTTGTCTCCCCCAGGTTGTATGGGCTGGTGTCGACTCTGACAAAACAGAAAAAATGTTATTGTCTCGTCACATTCAATCATGAACTACATGAATCACGTAAATGACAGCCCTACTTTCAAATTGAAACTGAAAATTGAATAGTTTGTATCACTGGATCACAGTTTGCTTCTTACATTCAATTTAACAGCATTAACAGCAAGTACACATGCATTTTATACACTTACATTTTTGCTCCGTCCATGCAATAAATGCATTTTTCTAGAAAATTAATTCAACTGCTCAGGTAATTTCAATGGTAGGCTATGATACATATTAATGTAGATATGTATTAAAGTTCCTGTATTTCGCACCATGATAGTTAGTAAATATGTATTCCCATTTTCACTTGTGTGATTGTCAACCTCTGCTTTTTTGCAACAGACTAAGCTTTTTTAATTTCCTCTAGCGCACTTTGCTTTCAGCTAACAAAAGAAAGATACTGCAATTTTCTGGTGTTATTTTATGATTGGTCGATCTTCAGCTCTTCTTCAAACTTCTCAAAATACATTCCGACTCAGATTGCATTTAATCTTTGCATAAAAAGATTAAATGCAAAGTTTAAAACTGCTCAGCCTGTACAGGAGCGAAACTGTAGATAAGCACCAGAAAATCTATTGAAATATACAGTATGCTGCAGCTCCTTTTACAATGCTTTCAACAGGAAGAAGAAATGTACATAATATTGTTATGTAATGCAATATATGTAATATTGATCCCTAATTTGAGCATTCATCACAATTTTAGCATTTGAAATTACTCAACTTTCCACTCTCGAAAGATAAAGACAAGAAAGAGAGAAACTGAGATGAGATAAACCACAAAGAAAACCCTGTTAATACGTTTGGCCATTCCTAACCAGTAAATCTGAGCCGTTTTGGCTTTTAAAGTATCACGAACAAGAGTCTGTCTGATAGTCTGAAGCTCTTCTAGGATCAGCTGCAATAGCTGCACGTCATTCATTTTTTCTTTGCTGTATATTTCCTTCAACATCAGAGACTCGAGGGGAGCTTCAACTCCATTACTGTCTCTTTTCCGGTCATCTGAAAGAAAACCCCAGTCCCATGACTACAAAGTCAGAACCTTATCATTGTGATGCTTGAAAGATGTGTATACCTGTGTCAGAGTTGTGATCTTCAGGTCTCTGAACCCCCTTAGCATCTTGTTCAGAGTTCATATTTATCAAGTATATCACCAAAACTGTCTCCAGAAGACTCAGCAACATGAAAGAAAAGATGACAACGACATACACAGCTGCACAGAACAGAAGAGGGAGTTTATATGACAAACTAAACGTATCTCTGATATATGAAAAGACGTCCCTATAAGAAAATTGTCCTTGAACTGAGCTCTTACCAATCAGAGGACATCTGTGAGATTTGGATGGCAGAATGTCATTTAGGATGAGCAGAAGTACAGAGATCCCCAGTAGCACAGTCACTTTGAAGCACAGTTTTTCCCCTCTATCTGGTATGAAAAAAGAAGCTAGGTCCAAAACGAGGAAAAACAATATAGGTAGCTGAAAATTGATGAAATGCATCAGGGGCATCCTTCTGACTGAAATCTAAAGAGGAAAGATGAGAGAGAGAAATCTGAGGCTATAATGAATGGAAGAAGAAATATAGTTTTTAAAAGAATAGTCCACCCAGAAATGAAAATTTGCTGAAAATGTACTCACCCTCAGGCCATCCGAGATGTAGAGTTTGTTTGGAGAAATTTAGTTTTACGTCACTTGCTCACCAATGGATCTATTAGACTTTTTTCACTGGATGAAGTGTTATTATGGATTATGGACTCATATTTTGGCCAGAAGCAACGGTTTAAAGTTAAAATGCCTTAATGATGGATTTGTTTCTTACAAACATGCAGCTTTTCACTTCACAAGACATTAATTGACTGGAGTTGTGTATATTTCTTGTGGATTATTGTAAAGTTTTTAATGGCGGCACCCATTCACTGTAGAGGATCCACTGATGAGCAAGTCATGTAACGCTAAATTTCTCCAAATCTGTTTTAGGAAAGAAACAAACTCATCTACATCTTGGATGGCCTGAGAGTCAGTAAATTTATTTTCATAGCCTATTTTCATTTTTGGGTGGGTTAGTACCGTGTACTTTATCCTGTCGAATGTTTGCCCCTCATAGCTCTCATTCTGGAGCGAGACGGATATGTTCAAGAACTCCCATTCTCCTTGTGTTAATATGCTTTCTCGAGCAACCTGTGTCGCCTTTGATGAATTGGAGGCAGGAACCAGCTTTATTTCTTTATCTGTTTCACATAAAGGAAAGCAGCTTGGTACAGTGTGACACTGAATGCGCACAGGGATTTTTTCATTGATGGAAAGCAACAACATTAAGATACAATACTAAATAATGATACATTATAAGACAAACAAGTGAAAGATACAAGTTTGAATGCACTAAATCTATAATTAAGTTTATGCTATGTTTAATCATAGCAGTTGTTTAAAAACTGTAAGAGGATGCACAATATGCTGCTACCAATATCAGCCATTTATTATCTGCCAACATTAAAATAATTATCAGCTTATCACATTGGCCAGATTTTAATATCATGCATCTTTATTTTAAAGGAATATTTACTTTTGAAATGTGCTCTCACCTGAGTAATTAATTGAAGACACAGTGATGTGGCACGTTTGGGTATCAAAAGGAAATTTGTGTACGTTCATTGTGCAGGTGCTGACAATCTTATGGTCATCCTCCATCATCACATTTCCATCATGAGTAATATACAAATATGGGTTCAGTGGTCCATCTTCCTTTTCTGCACTAAAACGTGTTGATAAATTAAGTTTTTTACATGCCATGTAAAATGAGTTTTGTGTCAAAGAAAATTGAACCAGACAAATCATACATTTTTGATTTTCCCACATATATGTCATTTCTCTCAATTCTTAATTTCTCCTCTCCTAATTCCATTTTTTAATCATCAATTAAGATGATTATCTAGATATATCATTTTTATATACTTACGTCTCAAGAACATAAAGGTCTGGTTTCCAAAGCATCTCTTTTGGCAAAATCACACTTTTAATGCCACAAAAATCTTTAGGATCCCAAGAGATTCGTTCATTGTTCCAACTCTAAATGAGCAAAAATGAATTCATAAATAAATCCCTTACGTGGTAAATTATCTTAATTCATAAAATATTTAATTTATTTAATATAATTCTTTTTAATGATTTCTTTTTTCCAATTATGCAGCATAATTCAGAAATAACTTAAATTCTAAAGAAGAATTTTGTGTTGTTTAACACTCACCATGGACATCCAAAAAAGAGGTACAAAGATTTGAGACTTTTCAATCTGCAAAAAAATAAAATAAATAAATACATATATATATATATATAAAACAGACACAGAATAATGTTACACTTGAACATTTGTCAGCTGTTTGCAGTCATACCATAGAAAGGATGCCGTAGAGGTAAATATCAAAATACACTATGGTGGGGTGTCTCCAGTCCAGTACAGGACGGCAAGTTGTGAATTTTTCATTGTCTCTGGTAAGATTTAAATATTCCAATACATCTTGCTTACTGCACACTTGTTTAGGTAACACTAAATCTGCAAGCCAAGAAATATGTTAAAGCTGTTTTAGATGTCCAAAAATAATTTAGCCTTGCCATCTTTAGAACAACTGACGATTGTCTGTGCATTAAAGAAATAACTGAAGCTTTACTCACCTACTAGAAAAAGTAGACAGATAGCACAGACAGGAAAAGAACTCATATCCAACTCTCAGTGAGAGACCACCTCTGGTTAGCAGATGACTGGCAACTGGTCCCACTCACTGCCTCTGCTTATGTAACAGTACAAGATGAAAATGGAATTATTAGCTTTAATATGGGAGAACATCATTCCCCTGAGCACCATAAAACATTTTTGTAGGATCATGAAGGCCATTGTTCCTCACAAATGTGATATTCTGCTGTTATTGATTTGTGTTGGTAGAGACAATCTTTTTTTGCACTGAATGGATGATAGACACGTCATCTATCTATCTATCTATCTATCTATCTATCTAATTTCAAACTGAGAAATTACTAGAAAATTTCAGTTAATTTCAAAGAAACAGCAATGAAATGTGACATTTTGAAGTAAAATACTATTTTCTTGTAAAACATACTCCAGTATTTTTTTTTTTTAATTTACAACTTTGAAAAATCATTTTTACAGTGTAGAGAGAAAGAGAAATATTTGCATTATTAATACAATTATAATAAAAAAAATATATATATATATTTATATAAACATAGAGGATGCCTTATAGCGGAAGTCCCTTGTAATTTTAGTTAATCAAATTTTCAGTTAATTTGGTTTATTTACTGTATTTATTTTTAATTAATGTTCATGTTCTTTACAGTGGTCTGTCACATTTTTAGTCATGAAAAGACCAATTTTGACAAATTTTAGGTCAACATATGGCCTTCTATTTTACCACCTGTACAATTGTGACTTTATTAATGTTGATTATTAATAAGATACAAAGTAGATTTGAGTATTTTACGAAGCTGACTGGTAGATTATATCAGCTCTAAAATGACATCCCATAATGTCTATCACAATCATTTTTACAGTAAATATCTGGCAACTTGAACTGTAAATTTGAAAAAGAGAGAATTGAGTTAAAAAGGAGAGAGTAAAATGCTCCAAACAAATCTTGTTTTTAAGAAAAGGTTTATTGTGGTTTTGACATTTTGTAATCTTCATTCTACAAGAGTGAATTGATGCAACCCATTCCTCATGTAGGTTTGGTTTAGAGTCACTCCTCCTGGTGCAGAAAGAGGACAGAACAAAAGCAATACAGATAACAAAACTGGAGAAATTCCCTTGAATTTATCCTCTTTACAGTGGTCTGTCACATTTTTTGTCATGAAAAGACCAATTTTGACAAATTTTAGGTCAACATATGGCCTTCTATTTTACCACCTGTACAATTATGTTGATTATTAATAAGATACAAAGTAGATTTGATTATTTTACGAAGCTGACTGGTAGATTATATCAGCTCTAAAATGACATCCCATAATGTCTATCACAATCATTTTTACAGTAAATATCTGGCAACTTGAACTGTAAATTTGAAAAAGAGAGAATTGAGTTAAAAAGGAGAGAGTAAAATGCTCCAAACAAATCTTGTTTTTAAGAAAAGGTTTATTGTGGTTTTGACATTTTGTAATCTTCATTCTACAAGAGTGAATTGATGCAACCCATTCCTCATGTAGGTTTGGTTTAGAGTCACTCCTCCTGGTGCAGAAAGAGGACAGAACAAAAGCAATACAGATAACAAAACTGGAGAAATTCCCTTGAATTTATCCATGCTCTATGCATGTTACTCCACAGATGTTTCTCTCTGCATGTAAATGTGACATTCTGCTGTAAAACATTCAATGCATGGCTAAGTTTATCTGTATTGCCTGCAGACAACAACGTGCTATTATGCTGCTGCATTGCTTGTTTTGTGACTCAATACCTGTTGCTTACACAGTGTGCAAGCTCAGTGCGGAAGGGCTAGACATATAGTGCAAATGTAAAGGTGGAGGATTTCTATTTTCTGACTGCAACTACCATGAGCTTACCACATGCACCGCATTATCTGCTGTCAAGGGAAAATCTACTAGTGCATGTGTAAATTATATAATCCCATTTGGAGAAATTTCACACCATTCATATACTACAGTAAACAACACATTGAACAGACTATTACAACGATAACAAGAACTAAGCTAACATAAAAAAATAAAAAATAAACATTTTCCACACAAAGGAAAAGCCTTGTTGGTTCTCAAAGTACAATAGACATTTTAAGAGAGTTATAAGAGACTATTTGATTGTACTGTGAATCCTTTTTTCATTCAGATAGTCCAGACAAGTGCTAATGAATAAAAACAATGGCTCAGATGAAGGAATTGTGGGAATAATAGTAAAAGAATGGATAGTTCACCCAAAAACATTTAATTACTTTCATTTACTCACCTTAATGTTGTTTCAAACCTGCATGGTGTTTTTTCATTTGTGGAACACAATCAAAGTCAACAATGTCCAATGTAATTTTGGGAATTTTCATTTTTGGGTGAACTATCCCTTTTCGGGATTGGAAAGAGAACCCACAGATCAGTAGAAGATTTTCGTTAAGTAACATAACCACTAACATACCACTGGTAAAAACAAAGTGCAAGTTTAAACACTATAAATTCGGTTTGGCAGAACTGTCGAGAAACTGAAAGTTGTTGATTGTTTTTCAAGTTAGTGGCACACTTTCCTTCATTTTCACTGTATAATGACTGCTGGAGCTAAGTAAACACTTTCAGTTAAGGATCCCTATAGGAAAGTGCAACGCTTTTCAAAAGGAATACATAACAAAAATTACTTTTAACAGGATACCAAAGTACCTGGCGTAGCGATCCATATCGGTCCAACAACACACTTCTGAAGAGCTACTTCAGCTTTCAAGACTTGGGTACAAATTGACTAACTGTAGCATGTGCTAGATTGTACCTCAGACGTGAAATTAACTTCTGTCATGACAACTCTCGGAGGGATTGGCATGGTAATGTACATGACAATGTTAATGTATTTGGTCTTGGCAGAATAGATCTGCTACGTTGCTGCTGCTGCTGCGGCAGAGCAAGCACTGAGACTTGCTACTGCCAATACATCCACAACATGCTGCTGT